TACCTTGGTTGTGGGCACATCCCCAGTAGGGGGTATGCAGGAGGCAGCTGATCAATGTTTCTCTCTCATCGATGTTTCTAACTCTCTATCCCTCTCCCTTCCTCTCTGTAAAAACAAAAACAAAAAACAATAAAATATATTTTAAAATTCCTGACCCAGGTGTCCAGCTGAAGCTCCGGAGGACAGGAGCTGACCCAGTAGGAACCTCCACCGATTTCCTTCCAAGTCTTAGCAAGCTAATAGTCAAGGCCTCATAGCCAAATGCCGGGTGCGGCAAAAGTAGGTTTGCAGTTGTGAGGACATGAAACACAGACTTTATTCTTGTATTACTACTTATCAATTACTGTATAATTTTCCATACAAGCAACTGTAATCCTACTTTTGCCCCACCCCGCCCTGTATTGAAGGCAGATTCTTACAGCCAGTACATACCTGTGGCAGTTTTACATCATTGATATCCCAGCTTAATATCTCTTTGTCCTCAGAATCAAAATCCTCAGGTTCCATGGTAAAGTCAGGTCAGCCACCAATGTCTGTGTATTTAACTCCCTTTAGCAGTGCTTCAGGATTTTGCTCGTAATTATAGTTGGATCAGTCCACTCAAGCAGCTTAGACCAAGAGACTATTTTCTGATGCTAAAAAAATAAATGATAATAATACTGACCATTAAAGAGATACAAATCAGTGCTTGTCTAACTGAAAAACCTGTTTTATTGACATTTTTGCAATCACCAACGCACAGCTAGAAATAAAAGGTAGAAGCCGTAAGAGATCTTGCTGAAAGAAAGTTTGGCCAGTGGGAATCAGAAGTGTGGTGATCATGCACTACCCCTGGGTCCTTGCTAGTCCCAGCTTGCGAAGGTTCTAGCAGGAATGGCTGTCACCTGTAGCCAATGGTTAGGGTCTTTTCCTCCAAATGTATGCCCGTGTTTGAGGGGGAGAGCTGGCTTGGAGCTGTTTCCACGGAAATGCCTTCATAAATTAGCTCATATGTGGATGAAATTCTAGGAGGGGAACATCATGACCAGTCGTGTCTCTATAGTATTTTTTTAAAGCTAAATTGCTACAGAGGTTAATGTTGGTCTCCTCGATAAATCCAGTGTGCACTTTATATCTTCAAATATGATCAAATGACATGCTCGTACGCGATTCCTCTAAAACCTTGGTGTTGCTGACATTTTGGACCTGATCATTCTTTGTTGTGCGGGCTTATCTTGTGCACTGTAGGCTGTTTGGCAGCATCCTTAGTCTCTGCCCATTAGGTGCTAGTAGCAAACCACCCTTCTTTGTTGTGACAACAAAAAAATGTCTAGAGACATTGCCCAACGTCCCCTGGGGGGATTGTATGAGAACTGCTCTAACATCATGTTTCTTATCATTTCACTTGAAGCAGTCTTCAGGACTTTGTGACTTCATCTTCAGCCATCTCACTCTTTCCTGTTGCCCACAAGAAAGTTCTGTCTCACCTTACTTTGATTAAAGTGTTTTATGTGGCCGAAACCGGTTTGGCTCCGTGGATAGAGCGTCGGCCTGCGGACTGAAAGGTCCCAGGTTTGATTCCGGTCAAGGGCATGTGCCTTGGTTGCGGGCATATCCCCAGTGGGAGATGTGCAGGAGGCAGCTGATCGATGTTTCTAACTCTCTATCTCTCTCCCTTCCTCTCTGTAAAATATCAATAAAAATATATTCTTTAAAAAAATTGTTTTATGTAAGCAATCGATATTCAAAAATTTTTGGTGCAAACTGCATTTCTTTCCCATGAAGAATACTGCTCTAGTTTCTAATAATAATCCGTTAAAGGAGATTTACAAATTAAGAAAAAAACGTTAGTTCGAAGTGTTCTACTGAGGAAAAACGAATCACTTTGCAGGTGAAATGTGCTTGTTAGTAGAATAAGAAGTGAAACGCGTTTGCATGTACAGTTGACCCTTGAACAATGTGAGGTTAGGGGTGCCAATACCGCACATAGTCAGAAATCTGAGTACAACTTAAGTCAGCCCTCTGTGTGCACAAAGCCCCAACCATAGATCTATATCATTATCATTTGCTGGTGTTCTTGTAAAAACAAGGAACATGATGGTGTTATGTAGAACTCTTCAACAGCAAACTCAAACCACAAGCTGATTAATGGTCCCGTGAGCTTTGTCCCTTAGTTATGTGACTTTATATAACCCTAACACTTCTCAATCACAGACAAGTATCCAAGTGTATGGATAGAGAAGACTGTTGACCTGAACGTATAAATGAAGTCTGGCCATTAAATAACAAGCTAAACGGAATCGAAGAGACCTCCCGACCCTGTCTACCCACACTCGCCCATCACTTAGTGTTCACAGACTCAGAGCATGAAGTCCCCACTTCCCATGTCAAACGCTGGCATGCAAAATGAAATTCCCGTGAGTTTCAAATCAAATTCTACGTTTGGAAAATAAACATTGAGTTAATTAAGAAATGATGCCACAGATTGACTTTAATTTAGAAGACTTTAGTAACAAGTATATTAGACACAAATACCAAGTGAAAATGCGATAGTGACAGATTTATGTACTTACCTCTTTGAATGTTAACAACAGTGATTCAAGTGGTCTAAAATTTGTTATCGCTAATTGGGATAGATTGAACTTTTTTTCTAAAAAACAAAACAAATGAATAACAAGATTCACATTTCCCGAAATGAAAAACACTGTTTTAAGCCTGATTAATGTAGACACACTTCTTTTGTTTTTAAATTAAGGAGCGGGGAATCAAATATCTTGCTACAGAATAACTAGATTGTTTTTTAATTTTTTTCTGATATAAATTTTTGCCAAATAAATGAACATTCATTTAATATTTCACTGAAGGATAGGAGCAAATCATAGAAAAGAAGAAGACTGTTTGCCGCCCTTAAGACATAAACAAACTGAGCTTTTCTCCAGGATTAAAAAGTCTAAGTTTGTCAAGACTTTCTCTTTTTAAAGCAACTCGGGCCAAAGTGTATTCAATTTTCATCATTTCTACCAAAAAACCAACTAGAAAAATAGAACCCTGTAAGAATGGGGTGGTCATTACCGCATCCCTTATGTTTGCATTTTCTTGGGATTTCTGGCTTCCTTACCTTTCGACTTCGTATGGAGATGCAGACAATACTGTATTATAAAAATCTCATCCCTGGTTCAGGTCCCAGCAGGCTCTGGTCATTTTCTAGGCAGAAGCCGCTGTTCCCTAACCCAGGTCAAGGTACACTATGCTAATGAGCTCTGGCAATAGTCCAATCAAAATCTAGATGCTCCCAGCTCAGGGTAGGTAAGAGCGAGCAGGGAGCCACTTAACCAGCTCAATTCTCTGCAGAATGCCAGCAATGTGATGAATATTTTATGATGTGCCTCTGAACTTTCCCCTCCTTCATAGTAAGAGGGCCCTGTAACGAAAATGCATATGAGAACCCCTAGAGGAAGCACAGATGTTTTCCTCTAGTAATGTCATAGGTTGGGCTCCAGGCAGAATTGACAGTAAATTCTAATTCTCCCACCATTGAACCCTGTGTGTGTGTGTGTGTGTGTGTGAGAGAGAGAGAGAGAGAGAGAGAGAGAGAGAGAACAGACATTGCACTGAGGGAATTTATTGGAATAGATTTGGGTAGCCAACAGCTCCTAAACCAGAAACACCAAAATGCTAACCGAACCACTAGCAATGATGCCCCAATAATTCCGAGTGTTCCAATCTCCCAAAATAACATAATTCTCCTTTCTAGACATGTCCTCAGCAGTCTGGGCAACAGCCCAGAATCAGTTGCGTTCATCTGCTATGTTCCAGGCAGTCTGCTAGGCGCTGGAGGTACAGGGAGAATTACAGCTGGTAAGAAGCTCTGTCTACCAGGTGGGCGCTGGAAGTGTCAGGGGAACACTTTGTAAAGTATGACCGTTTAATCACTGTGTTGTACACCTGAAATAATAATATAATACTGAATGTAAACTATAATTGAAAAAAAAATTTTTTTAATAAAAAAGTTCAGTCTAGGGGAAAAGATGAAAAAAGACACGAAATGAGCACCCAGGTAACTTGATGCACAGCATAGAGGCAGCCTAGAAGGAGTATAGGAGGGGAAATGATTAATCTGGAGAGAAGAGAATCGGGGGAAACTTGTTTTACAAAAATGATGCCTGCATCAGCCCTTTAAAAGACAAACAGATCTTTGGGCACCGAGAAATGGAAAAGGCTGCTCCGGGTTGTGGCAATGTCACGGGGAAAGGTGGAGAGGTATGAAAAGTGTGGCGTGCACAGCATCACGAGAAGTCAGTACCTGCCAGGAAGGGGCAAGCCGTCAGAGACAGGCTGCGAAGGAAGGAATGAGCAGGCCAGAAGGCAAAATGCTTGGGAGGCTTCGCAGGTTGTCGGGCAGACCCGGAGTGACCTTTGGCAATGCCGGGAAGATTTTCCACCCGTCGTTCAGGCCATAAATGAACTTTACCTTGAGCCACCTCACTCTTTCCCGTCCCCCACAAGAAAATTCTCACTTTACTTTGATTAAAGGGTAGTATGTAAACAATAGATCATCAAACATGTTTGTGCAAACTGCATTTCTTCCCCTATGAGACATACGGCTCTAGTTTCTAAGTACCATTGGTTAAAGGAGATTTGCCAATTAAGGTAGAAATGAGTTCAAAGTGTTCTACTGAGGAAAAACGAGCCATTTTGCAGATGAAATGTGCTTGTTAGTAGAACACGCAGTGAAGCATGTTTCCCTGGAGTCTAAGACCCCACCTGATTTGCCTAGGCTTTCGCTGGCTAATCTGGGTCTGCTCTTTGCAGTCCCTCCCTTGACCGGGATGTTCTTTCTCCATCCTCCGAACATATCCGAGCAGGACCAGGCCTAAAGCTGTGACAGCTGGCAGAGGAGGAATGTCGACCGTGTCCAGCTCCAGAATCGCAAAGCAGGACAAAGAGTGGATGTGAGAGCCACTGGTACACGTGTCATGATTGCCCACGTGTTTGGGACTTCTCCTTAGAATGTCTTCTTCCCTCCATGTATCTAGGCCCTACCCATCCTTCAGGAACTCCCCCCATGCCAGCTCCTCCTGAGACCTTCCCTCGCGATTCTAGAACAGGATTTCTCACTTCTGTGTGGTTCCAGCACTCTTCACTCCGAAACAGACTCTGCCTTATATCAGTTAGAACTAACTCTTTTTTTTTCTAATTATAAAATAAATTTATGATATATTTTTAAAAAATGTCATGGCCTCATCTCCCAGAGATTTCCACATTAACATTTTGGTTATGTCCTTTCATATTTTTGTTATTCCCTAATATACCACCAAGCAGAGGTATTACTTTGCATAACTGTATTTAGACTGTATATGCGACTGCTTTTTTAACTGGTCCTAAGTGTTAGGCCTGGCTTCCCAGCTAAGCTGCTGGTCCTCCTGGCAATGTTTGTTATCCTCCACGTTCCTTCTCCTCACAGAAGGACCTGCTGGAGTCCCAGCTGCCACATCCGACCCATCCTGGTCCCAAAAACAAGCCCTCCTCTGCCGCAGGAGGGAACCGAGGTCTCTGGCTGCACGCTCTGCGCTGTGATGAGACCGAGCAGATATTCCAACTGATAACAGCACCGCTGCCTTCTTAAGGCTACGGTCCCAACGTCCTACCCATGTTCTCCAAGTTAGATCCCTCTAATTGTTAATAACAACAATAACCACAGCAGCCTTCCTCATCGGAACACTTAGCATGTGCCAGGTGCCCTGATAAACACTGGTCCTGACAGCATCCCTATGAGGTTAATGATGCCCTTTACAGAGGCGGACATCGAGGCTCAGAGAAATGATACTGCACAGCATTGAGGCGGCAGAGCTGGGGTAGGACCCAGAAGGGAGGCTGTCGGCCTCGGTCCTGCAGGAACTGCCCCATGCTGTTCCGTATCTGGAGCCTTTTTTCTCGGGTCCTGTGAACTCCGAGCCCCATGTCATTTTTCCAGTCTCTGCCTCCTCCCTGACGACAGGAACCCTGCCCACAGCCAGGTGGCTAGAGGCCCTGTTGCTTGGTGTCTGACCTCAACCACGGAGGCTTGGATTTCTCAATATCTCTGCTCTTACGTCCCCTGTCACTCTGGGGCCTGCCTACTGAAATCGTTCTGGTTTCTTTCATCAGTGGTGCTGCTTTAGGCATTTTAGGAAGAACATGTCTTCTTGGTGTAGGACTGTCCGAAGCACCGCGTTCCCAGGCCCTGAATGCCAATGACACCCCCGAGTCACAAAGTCAGCCATAACCTCAAACCCCCACAACCATCTGAGATCCCTAGTTGGTTGGTGGTTCAGGTGGGAAAGCCCTGGGACATGGTGGGGCTCTTTAAGAAATACTGGGTGTGATTTAAAAATATTTAACCATGAGGCTTGAAATCTGTCTTAGCAATGGAAACTATGACTAACATAGGTGTCTATAGTAGCAAAGTCATAACCAAGAACCCACGTGTCAATCTCCTAACAAAGGAAAAAACAGACTCTCACATTCAGAGTGGTGGATTGCTTCCCATTTCTTACAAATATGTTGCTATTCTTTTTGTGCTGAAAGCCAGCAAATGGATGTTCTGCAGGTTGATAACAATGTGAGTAAAGTCAGAATCAGGAAGACTATTCTGTTTAATGTTGGAAATTAGTAAATCGATACCAACTTTTTAAAATTTAAGAACTACAGGTCAAAGAAAGCAGGAATATGACCCCACCATTTCCAGAGAGTGAGGAACCACATTTTTTTTCATAAAAAAACACAAATTTTTATGATTATTTTTATAAGCACCAAGTCTGAAGCGCTGACCCTGGGTGGTCATGGGGAGACTGTTCCTGGTGATATCTGGCTCTCAGCGTGGAAGCTGCCCATTTTCCCACTTCAGGGGCTCATGGCTCAGGACTAGAAAGATGGCAGGAATCGGGGGGCGGGGGAGGGAGGAGGATGAGGAGAAAAGAGAGAGGTCCTTTCTGTAAAACTGCACATTAGCGAGCCCATAGGACAAGCAACCATTTGAGGAAGGAGGCCCTGCCCACAGCAAGGCTTTTCAGCACCCAGGACCGAATCCTGCTGGCCCAGCACCCACCACTTTGGCAGCCTGACTGCCCTAGCTGGCTCAGCGGTAGTGGAGGCCACCCAGCAAAGGTGGAGGCCACTCGGGAAAGGTGGAGGCCACCCAGCAAAGGTGGAGGCCACTCGGGAAAGGTGGAGGCCACCCGCAAAGGTGGAGGCATCTAGCAGAGCCCATTTGGAAATGGGTGACCAGGGCAACTGAGGCATCCTCTGCAGGAGGCTGTGGAGACCTTAGCAGCTGCAGGGCAGGGGAGGAAGTGACATCTGTGGGGACTGAGAAGACTCAGGGATGATCGCACATGAGACATCCCTGCAGAAGACACAACCATTGATAACTGGGCCTGGGCTGAGATCTTGAAGGTGGGTCCAAGGGCCAGCCAGTAACAGCCTAAAATACCTCAAGTCTCCCCAGTTGAAACTCTGAAGCCGGGCAAAATCAAAATATTTTTACAAAATTAAAAATATTGTAAATATTAAATTGTAAGTAATACTGAGAAAAATGGTAACAGTTGTTCTTTGCATTATGGGATCATTGATCATGTTTATTTCCTTCTTTATATTTATCTATAATTTCCTAAATTTTTCATAAGAAGCATGCATCCTTTTTATCATGTGATACTTTTTTTTAAAGGTCAATGATATAAAGTAAAAACTATCTACTGTTTGTACATACTTTATAGCAGCAGTTCTCAAACTGTTGAGTCTCAGGATGAGTTTTTACACTCTTAGGAAATAACGAGAATCTCAAAGAGCTTTTGTTTATGTGGTTCGTCAATATTTACCATATTAAAAATTAGAACTGACATTTTTTAAACTATCAACCTAAAATAATAGTATTATTAATAATAGCATTATTAATAATACCATTACATTTTAACTTAAATAAGTTTCTGAAAAATAACTGTATCAAAACAGAAATTAATGAGAAAAGTCTAATTGTTTACCATTTTTGCAAATCTCTTTAATATCTAACCTAATAGAAGACGGTTGGAAATCTTATTCATGCTTCTGCATTCGATCTGTTATGTCCGAGCTTATTATATAAGCTCTGGGAACGCCCAGGCACACTGTGATTCCCAGTGAAGAAAGGCAAATAATATCTTCATATTATGAAAATTGCTT